GACAACTGGACACCTCAAACACACATAAGAAGACACCACCAGTCCAACTGTTGGGGTAGATACCCTCAATTCATAGGGTAGGTCACACATAGGTAACTTAAGTTTATCCGTACAATTACCAGCAATAAAAGAATGGGTAGCACCTAAATCAAACAAAACTCGTAGAGGTATATCAGAGATAAAACACACACCTTGCACTAAATTCTCTGACATCGATGTCTCTGCTCCTGACAAGGCAAACACCCGCCCTGCAGCTCTGGGTTTCGCCTCACTCCCCCTAGGTACTAATGATGTCCCAATTGAGACTGTAGCACTAGGCTTCTGTGGACAGTCTCTAGCCATATGTCCTAGCTTCTTGCAAGTGTAGCAAAGACCTGCCCGAGAAGTCTGGGAAGGAGTAGTGAAGGCATTTTGTGGGCACTGGTTCCTGTAATGAGGGCCTCCACATTGAAAACATTTTACCTCGGATACAAATCCCGATAATCGGCATGTTAGGGTAACACTGCCACTCCTAGAAGACTGGAGGCGTGAATAAGGCATCCTCCTCTCTGATCTACTACCCCCACTCCGGACCCCACTTGGGTGGGTCCTCATCACTCTGACTCCTCCCTCCTGGAGTCTCTCTATTGTCTTTGTTTTCTCCACCAGCTCTAGGAATCTCCTGATAGAGAAAGGAACCACCATGAACTTGATCTCAACCCTCAAGCCCTCATCAAACTTCCTACAAAACCACTGTTCTGAAGATGTACCTGTGTAAACGAGATAAGTGTTCAAATCATACGGCGTAATCATGCACCGTCATATTTCCCTGTCTTAGACTCAGGAACTCAATCTCCTTTTGAAATCTAACACTGTCAAGGAAATATTTCTCTAGAAATCTCTCATGGAAGGTTTCCCAATTACACACCTCCCCACGTGCAGTCATCATCCTCTGAGTCCCTGACCACCAGAACTCAGCCTCATCCACTAGTAAGTATTTTCCGAAGGTCAATTTCCTGTCCTCCGGGCATAAGGTAGCCTAAAAAAATCTTATTCACTTCACGTAACCACTTCTCTGCTGCATCTGGACCCAAATCTCTTCCAAAATGAGGCGGATTATGCCTTATGAACTCAGTCAACCCCATCTGCTCTGACTGGTGGAATCCAGTAGAGGATGATGTCATAGTTGGCCTCCACTGCGGGTAGGTAGCCTACTGCTGCATGACAGCTGCCAACATTTCCATTGTCCTGGTTAGGGTATCTACACTCGGCGGAGTAGGAGTAGGAGGTCGCGGTGCCATCCTATATCAAACGCAACCATTAATACAGAGCAAACATTCACACACACTTACATATCAAAGTATAATCACAATAGACTTATCATAGGTTCACTACCCATCCCCACAAATTTACAAGGATACTACCGCTCTGATACCACTATTGTAACGACCCTAGAAATCGCTACTATAATGATACCTTTGCAAAATAGTAAACAAGTAAATAACATTATCTATATTACATTATATTAATGTAATTGTAATATAGACTGAAATCTCGGATCACTGGCGGAACCTCAGAACATAGTAACATAATTTATTTATACAGATACATGAAAAAGTAGCTCCCACAAAGCTACCGCACTGAACTATCATTGTTGTCCAGTAATTGCATCTCCACCTCTCAACTCCTAATCTGCTCGCACATAAAAGTGATCATCGCAGTCCCATCCACATGGAAAAATAGGGGTAAGTATTAAATCATTCAGTATAATAAAACAGATATAGAAGTAATAATTACATATTTTCATCAATTACAAATCATCAATACACTAAGACGCCTTCCGGAAGTCTACCCTAACTATGCCCGAACTCAGAGGCTATCATCTGTGGGTACATTGTGATCGACACCCGTAGTACCATTCTGACCACCCTCCACACAGAGTAGAATTATTGGCGCCCTTCATCACTCATACTGGAGTACCCCTCCGAGCACGCCACCAGTCATCCCCCCATCAACTTCTCACCACTTGATCTCGTAGTCTACCTAACCCGACCAATCACTGAAGTCTGGGACCTCATTCAGAATCCTCTGACATAGTTATTACACTAATGTACTTTGTACGACCCCAGGTACCATTCAAACACAACAAAAGTCATTCACATTTGTCGGATTCTGAACCACCCGTCCTCACGACTCATTCGGGTCAATAAATAATAGTATTTGACTGATTCTGGGCACCAACCCTCCGGCTCAGTCTAGCCAATACATAACATCTCATGACTGATTCTAGGCATGAGCCCTTAGACTCAGTCTGACCCACACACGTCACAACACACTGCTCGAATCTTTAAAACTGCTACTTTCATTCTATATTTTAAATATATATATATATATATATATATATATATATATATATATATTTTCGAAATCATTTCGAAATTATTTTCGAAATCATTTCCGAAATCATTTCCAAAATCATTTCCGAAATCATTAAATTACTATTTTGCCCTTAATCTTTTCTGAAAATTTCATGTATGTCCCTAAATGACTATTTTACCCTTGGACATTTTAAAAAATTCTTTCCATGTCCCAAAAATGACTATTTTATCCTTGGACATTTTTAAAAATTCCTTTTATGTCCTGAAAATGACTATTTTACCCTTGAACATTTTTAAAAATTCCTTGTCCCTTTCTTCTTCCTCGCGTCCAATAATAGTATTAAATTTTTGCACATTTTAGTAGATTTCAAATTACTCAGTGTTAGACAACCAAACTAATCCCAAATTCAGATTAAACAAGAATTATATTTAATTTAAATTGAAAACAACAATTTTACCATATAATTCATCCTTAATTTCAAGAATTCCAACAAAATTTCAAATTTTGTAAAACATGAGAAATCTTCAAAATCAATCGTTCTAATGTTTAGATTTCCACTCATATTCCTTATTCATAGAGTACTCAACAATTCAGTCTCATATATTGAATGAATTAAACTTCCCCTTACCTGGTATGATATTTCTACCAAAGTTTTCTCACTTAATTCAAGTTCTCTTCCATTTCACCACATCCTGCACGAGTAGAGTCTCGTTGTTTGAAATTTAGACAAAAGAATAAGAAAGATGAGAGGGAGAACTACTTGCTAAAATTTCCTGCCTCCTCTCCCCTTTCTATACGCGTATATATAAAAGAAAAATTTTACTGTGCATAAGAAAAACTTTCGTTACAAAATTTTCTTGTACACTAATATTATTATAATATATAAAAAATATATATGTCACAACAAACATATCTATTCTCATTTAATCTGTTTTTATCGGAGATGAGAGTAATGAAATCATAAATATGTTATAATTTCCTGAATAATATCATGTTCCAATTCAACAACGACAACAACTGTTAATAACATGTGGCTACATATTCCTCACATATGCCAGCAGTTAAATAAAATACTGCGTTGTGCTCATAACTCGTAAATTGTTTACTTGTTTTTAGGATTTATATATTTTATTTAATGTTATACGTTTGAAACATGTGGGGATGTAGCTCAAATGGTAGAGCGCCCGCTTTGCATGCGGGAGGTACAGGGTTCGATCCCCTGCATCTCCATTATACATTTTGCTTAATTTTTAACTTTCTTTGAAGTATTACCTTATTAATAGTTTCTATCCATTATATTTTCCTTCTCCTTTGAACTTTTTACTATCCAGTATAGATCTACTTTAGAACAACAATCTAAATTTTTTATTTTATGTCCTACCGAGCACACAACCACGCTGATTGATTCATTCTTACGTGTTCATCAGCAGTTTCAACTTAAAAGAAACACTCAATTAGTGTTTGATGTCATGACTTGAAACGAAAGAGTATATAGAGGACTTCTGTGTACTCAGACTTAGTCATTATAAACGGGAAGATCGGAAAAAGATGATCGACAAGAAAAAGTTAAATCAGAAAATTATCTTCAATTAAACTAAACTAAACTAAAATAAATAAATATTTGCAGGATTGCGAATTGGAAAATTTACGAATTTAAAAAGAAAAAATCAAACTTATACATTTTGAAATAAATAACCAAAATCACAGATTGATAGAAGACCAATATTATATTAAATTATACATCGCCCTTCATCTCTGCAGTTCTTCAAAAATCATTTAGTCTTTCGAATATTCTTTATAACCAGTTAGATCTTCTAATTATTTTGTTTATAAGTAATACACTTTCTTTAATCACTTTACCATAAGAACCAATGACGTGAGGCCTTAAATTGTATTTTAGATGCTTTACATTCCAAAATCCTAAGTTGGTCCCAAGTGTCTTTGTAAGGACAGAATATTAGCACTTTTCATAAAGTGGTTTATGGAAGAAATCGTCACACATAGCAAACAATATTAAATATCAACGTTATTAAATAACTTATTAATCCCCTTCCGTTCCGCTTCCTTCATATTTTGTTTCTACTGTTGTTACACTGATATCAGTGTCTATTTATTAATAAATGAAGGTAGATCATATTATTGACCAAGTCACCGTATTGAATGGTATTTTTAGTTGTTACACTAGCTAGACCCTAATCATGCATCATAGGCTTTCTTGTAATAATGAATGTAGCAATATGATCCATCCTTCACTCCAGACCTGAAGTGTTGAAATGCAAAAGAATTCTTGAAGGCTGAAGAAATCTCGTTTGAGAGTATTCATGTTTCCAGATCATACTTGTCCATACACAAACTTGGGAACACAAATAAATCTTTATGATCACACACACTGAAGGGATAAAAATACAATATGGACAGCCAAGAAATCATGCCACAGGCAAACAGAACGCAGACTTGTAAAGTTGCAGCATGCAAAACTTAAAACCTGTGTTGTACAACTCACTACCCAGAATGCAGGAAAAATAAGGTGATCAAACCAGGTCATACAACGGTCCTATCATTTCAACAACTTTCATCACAGACGACCTCACACAATTTTCAACATTCCCTTGTTCAATCCCTGAAAACCAGGGTCTCCTTGCTCACCTCCTCCACTCTGCTTGAATTACTTTCCCTGCAAGATGATTTTGATTATCAATCATGAGAAAACAAAGGCATATACCAGCATATGGTGGATTCATTTTGGAAATTAGAATCCCACTTCTACCAAATAAATTTACCATGAATAAAAAGAACTGTACAGCTTTAGAATCAATGGTTAAGACACTAAACTATAAAATATTAAGTACCAGAAACTTTCTCAACGACATTCATCTTACTGAAAATTGGATTAGTCTCTTTAAACTAACAATTGAGTTTCAAAACTCTTTGAAAATGGTAATTTTCTAGGTGAAATCATAATATGACATTTTCAAATCACTATATGTAGGAAGGACTATATCATACCATTTCCTCCTTTAGAAGATGGCATTGATCTGTCACTTTTGTTGCCCCCTTTGCCACCTGCTTGAACTGATCTCTGTGTTCTAGGTGAATGCGAACTAATCTTGTTGTTAGTTAAAGATGGCAGAGAATGTCTCCCAGAACCAGCAGTGTTGTTTTTCTCAATTCCATCTTGCTCAAACCTTGGAGACCCTTGTGCCCTCAACTTTGCCTTGGCCGATTCAGTTGCTGCCATATAACTTGGTACCTTTGGACTATTCTTTAAGTCATCTTCTCCATTCTCTTGTTTTGTCAAATTCGTAGCTTTCCGGGTAGGTTTCTGGTTTTCATTAACTGTCAAATCTTTATGACTCAAATCTCCATTTGTTAATAGGGATTTCTCTTCCTTAAAAATAGCCTCTGACAGATTGCCTAGCTCATTTTTAACTTCATCGTGCGAAGTCGTTCTATCTTTAGTTGTGGTCTCTGACAAGAGTTTAGATTCTACAGACACTTCATAACTGTTTGGAATGTCAGACACTTCCTTATTAACTGATGGTCTTCGAGTAATTTCGACATCAGGCACATTGGAGATGGTCAGAGTTTCTTCTTTCTTGATCTTTTCATCAGAAGTAATTATCGGTTGTTCAGTAACAGCATGACCTGGAATAACTGTTGCAATTTCTAAATGCTGCTTTGGAGTCTCACATTCAACTTCTGGCTGAACAGCATTCTCAACAACAGGGTTATGAATCTTTCTCAAGTTACGTTTAACCTTTTCAAGCTCACTTTGTGGATTTTCTTGCTCTGGATCTGACACTTGGTATGGTGTTTTCCTGAAATTACGTTTTGGTTTCTCAAATTCAGGATTTGTTTGCACTAGGACTGGTTCAAGACTTGCAATAGGAAGCTTCCTGTTAGTGCGTCTTGACTTGGAAATTTGAACTTCTCCGTTTGAAATATTACCCTGCTTTTTCTGAGATTTTAAGTCTCGAATTTTCTTAGGTTGGGGAACTGGTTTCCAAAAGTAAGATGCTGACCAGCGCTCCAACCAGCTTAAGACTGAATTTGGATCTCCACTAACATATTGCAAGCGCAGGGCCATTATCGTAATTGATGAAGCAAGAAGCTGAAAATACAAGCTAGCTTTCTCACATGCTCAAGTTGAGTAAAATAGATTAAACACAAATTTGATACAAGAACCCACTTTATTCCCAAGTTCGATTTAACTGAAGTAAATTAGAGTCCGACAACTCCAGTATTGCACATCGTGACATCCACTTTGAGAAAATTCAAACATGTTCATGTATAAACTTGTAAGATAAAAACCACATGTTGTAAAGTAATGTTAAGCACTTCCTGGTTCAGCTTCATGCTCAAGGCTACCAATAATAAGTTCCAGCAACAAAAGTCATGTAATTCTTTGACTTTACTTAATATCAAAATTCATCACTACAGTGATAAAGAAAATAAATACCACATTCTTGAGAAATAAATGATAACTTGTGTTTGTATTTGAATATGAAATCTTCTGCAGTTGAGAGCAATTCAAAGGGGATATTGTACTTTCTGAATCTACTGCTATAAGGTTGGTTCCAATTGCTTATAGAGAGAAAACAAAAAAGAATATTACCCGGCTGTTGTATTAACCATGTGGATCCAAAGTCTATCCTTTCAAATTTAAAAATATAGTATTGTCATCTCAAAGTTTATAGTATTATTGTTCAATCACAAATGATAAACAGAAAAACAGAAAAATAAATAAATATTTGTATCACATACATGGCATAATTTAAATTACCTTACGGATGAAAGTATTTGGAGACAACTTTGAAATTTTTGTGGAAATAACAACTGGCTCACCAAGTTTGCCCTCCTGAACAGATGCACAACATATTCAGAAATCTTAGCACCAAGAAAAGTACAAAAGCAGGAAAAATAACAGAAAGAAATTTTGGTTGGGATGTTATAGAATTAACATTACAGGATGGCTGGCATCTTGTATTTGCATTTTAGTATAATATTATCTTTGGCTGACCAAAAAACAAAAACAGAAAATGGAATTCTTAGTAAACCTACTTTCAATTTAGGAATAATTAATCACCGAAGTGGTTAACTCATAATTGGTTATTATAAGTTTTTGAGCATCATGGACCAGTTGAGTGATTAAAGGTTCCCAAATTTACCATGAATTCCCCTTTCGTAATTTTTCTAGAAGATTTATTATACAGAAAAATCCTTCTTTGTGTCTCTCTACATGATTCAGTCATAAACTTGGAGCTAACAATATCTGATGGATGAATAATCCACCATAAAAGAAACTCAGAAATTTCACACCTTGTTCGATGATTAGACATTATTCGCTTGTACCAATATTACATCCTATACAACTCAATAAGTGGTAAAACAATTTTGTAGAACACAATCCTTAACAAGTTTGATTGAAAAAATAATGGATGATAAGAGGCCATCCTGAATCTAGTAAAAGTTATTTAAAAAGTACCCCATTTATTGCCTTCTTGATCCTCATTCTTAATGTCCTGCCTGTTCAGCCAAAATGTTCACATTTAATATAATAATTTTGTTTTAATTTAACCTAGATCGGCAAATATTAATGGTTAGTATGTTAGTTTTAACTTAACCTAGATAGTCAGGTACATCATTAACTCACATAATAAAAAAAATGCCTTGAACAATACAAGATGATAAATCATTGATAATTTACAGATTCATAGAGAGAAGTACCAGAGGCTTAAAAAGACTGCACTTCTCATGGATTTCAAATCCAACATTAGACTGTCTAATCCTTCCTCCCCGGGAAAGTGCTTGAAACTTTACAATCCCATACATACAGCATAATGTAACAATAGCTTGTCTCCTCACCAAGTGCCCACGAATAAGTGCTTGCAACCTTATTATGCCTTTTAGAGCTCTAAATGCCCTGCGAGCCTTCACAAGAGATGCTTCCATTAGTTAATATCAAATATTACAATCTTTATTCACTAATACCATAAAAAACTCTACAAATATAATTCCAATTTACTAAATATGTTCATGTGCCAGCTCGTACTATAACATGCTTGAAAAGTATCAGAAAAGTAGTACAAAAATTAGGATTGCGATTTATTTCTCAATGAAATACTATTTCTGTGGAAAAAGTTCATGAGATTGGAAGCTGGGATGAGTTTATATCAGACAGGAAAACATCTGCGAATTAATTTCAACATAAGAAAATCGTTGGACTTTTTATTTAAAAAACAAGAGTTATTTACCATATTGACTCGAAATTTTGTCCAATAAATTGGTCAGCCTTAGATATAGTATTTTAGGCTACATATCTTTCTCTGTCTCATTACTTTTGACTTTTTTCAATTTCGTCCCACAATTATTTTCAGCGTCAGTTTGATCCCACTTTTTTGAAGATGAGTCAATGTTTTTCCATCCAACCTCATTAAGTTATCTAAAAGAAAGTGCAACATGATGCTGTAGTCATGCATGCTTATTGACATGACGATGACATGTATGTATATAAAACATCTCTGTCAACATGGCATACAATTGATTGTGTCAGCCACATTGACATTGATGTGACATACCTAAACAAACATGATCACATCACTGCCACATTGCATCTTCCATTAGATAACTTAATGGTATTGTCGGAAGACATTGACTTAGATTCAAAAGGTGAGACTAAATTGATATTTTGGGACAAAACTAAAAAAGTCAAAAAATAATGGGAATAAAAAAGATATTTAGCCAATGTTTTATAAAATAAGATAAAACATCAAAAGAAAAACTGGGGGAGGGGATTGATAGAAACTTGGGTATTATTGGGGGCCTAAGTCACAAATTGAGTAGTATGGATGCTCGATGAAGTATTTAAATGTTTGGTTCTCTCCCTTTAATAGCTAGCTTTTGAGGGTGGGTTCTCCAAGTGCTTGGGTACTTATCAGGGATATAGAAGTCATGTGATTGATTCTAACCCTAAACACCACACTTGATTTTAAAAATCTTATTCAGTTATAACAAGAATTCTTCTCAAGATCCTTAAAAATGGAAAGTACTGCACAATATACAATAACATGGATACTGAATAGAAGATATGCATAAATATATGACAACAAAAGCTATTGGGAAAAACTCAAGTCCTGCATAGACTAGAGATAAGGCCAAATAGTGTATATAAGTAGGAACAACCCTAACCTCACAAGTTAATTTTGTAGGATTAAATTAAACTCATCCAAATTGTAAAATGATATCACAATTTACATAGTTTTTCTTAGATTCATCAATGGGTTAACTACCATATTATTCACGGTCAAGCCCAATAGTATTAGGCATGGGGGGATTTATTGGGAAAAACTCAAGTCCCACATTAATTGGAGATAAGGTCAAAGTAGTGTATAAGGCAATCCACACCTCACAAACTAGAGTCAGAACAAAGTAGTGTATAAGTAATGAGCTAAATGAGGTGCAATTCTCACATTTTAATTCACTTTTGTGGTATTGAGTGAGAACCAAATTCGAATTCTAAGAAGCTAATACACAAATTCCTTCCACTATGATCAAAGCCAGCAATTCACCCGCAAAATTGAATTATGCTACTCCACTATTCGGCCTCTACCCTCTAATTCATGTTTCCCTTTCCGTCTTCCATCATGGCACAGTCTCCTTTATGATACCTTTCTGTCATCTGTACATTCTAGAATGTTTTTCCACTTTTGATTCCTCCTTACTCCTAGTAACATACCTATTTCTACTCTTGTTAAGTGACAAAAGTTGATGTAATTATGCTTTTAATTGTTATTTAACCACTTAAATTATGTGATTCTAATCTATTTTTGTCCCAATGTAGGATGAATTTGCAGAATGTCTGGGTACAAGAGCAAAGATCATAATTCTCAAGTTAATTGAAGAAAAATTGAAAAAAAGGAAGAAGATTTTCAGTCTAAGAGTCACCCGAGCAAGACGGACGCTCGCTTGAGCGAAAATACATTAAAGCTCTCTAGAAGTTACTCGCTCAAGCAAACATTTATTCGTTTGAGCGAAAATACGTTAAATCTCTCGGGAATTTAACTGCTCAAGCGAATAATTCTCGCTTAAGCGAAAATCTTCATTTTTTGCTTAAGTGAACATTCCGCTTGAGCGAATGATGCGGAATTTTTCTATAAAAATATAAGATGCGTTTTGAGAAGGGAGTTGGAGGTTTTGAGAAGATAGGCGCGACGGTTGCTCGAGTTTTCGTCCAATCTTCAATTCATCTTCATTTTGATCATTGTAATGACCATCATGAGTGACTAACTTCATTCTCTTAGGATTGAGTGCACTTCCTTTGAACTCTTTTGTATCTTAGTGATATTTTGAGATATTAATCTATGTTCTTGATGTTGTTATTCTTATCCTTTGTGTCTGTTAATGTTTTTATCCTGGATGTTCATATATATTGGAAAATATATTTTGAAACCCTTGATTATGTTAAAAATATTTGATACGTTGATTGCTAGGAATGGTAATGGATGTATTAAGTGTTTAACACCCTAAACCTAATGCTGAAAAATCTATTGAATGTATGAGGAATCTATGTTTACAAGGTTTTCTTATGAATTTCATGTTTGAGGAATCAATGTGAATGATTTAAGTAGGTGACATCAACATTGATAGGTTAATTGATGTTATGAATTTGACCTAGCCATTATACAAAGGAGGGAAAAGGAAGTAAGTCAATCCTAAGTTCTCATATTTCATCTTTTCTAAATATATTTTATAACTTTTTACTGTTTGTTTTCAATCCAAGAGTTTATGAAAAACCAATTTTGTGTCAATACACTTGGTAAGCTAATGATTTGGAATTTCCAGCGAAACTGTTTTTCGTGGGATCGACTTTTATTTAATTGAAATATTGTACTGTGATTGATAATATTGATACACTTGTCAAATATTCAACAAGTATTTCTGGCGCCATTGCCGGAGAACGGCGTTCCTTGGAAATTCTTTGTCTAGCTTATTATTTGTTTTTTTTTTGTCTAGCAGCATACCTATTTCTACTCTCAAAAACATAATGTCCCTTTTTGTCTATTGTAAATGTGTGAAAGGCTCACCAGACCTCAAATGAGATATTATGACAATTATATTTACAATCATCATAGAAAATAAGCTTCCCAGTTTATTTATCCTTCAGCGGTCTACTTCTAGATATCTCATCCCAGAGTACAATTCAGAATTCTAATGTTTTATACTAAACAATAAGAAGAATTTAGTCACTTCCTCAGAAACAGTAAGACACATACCAAGTAACCCCTGAAAGCGGCTTGTGCCTTTATTGCTGCTACCTCCTGCCTGATTTTCTCTGGATCAGGTGGTGCATCTGCATCAACCGATCCCATATTTTCTCTTTCTTGATTCTCAGGTAAAATAATTTCTGATTCTTCATTCTCCAGTTCAAGGTCCTCCTCATTTGTAACAATCTCATTGTGGTTTGGTTCTAAGGCCAAACCATTTTCCAACACATCGGAAGCAACCACTGCTTCTCTTTTATTAACAACCTTCTACAAGAAATTAGAGTAAAAGAAGTCAGAAGTTAATATCGGGAATATTCATATCAAAATATATTTATTTCTCCAAGGAAGTTGTATTCAATAGTACAACAGCAGTTATACCCTAGCGGCATCTCTGGATAATCTTAAGTGTTCGAATATTGGCCTTTAAAGGAGAACAAAATCCATATTCTATATTTCCTGCCCTGTTCTCTATATCATTAAAACAGTTATTAATAATCCTGATGAAACCAATTAGGTTGTAAAGCAATGGCTATCTGAATCTGATAATTTTTGTTATGCCACCAATTCTGTCATTTAAAGGGAAATTACGGATGCACACATGCAAGTAATATGAGACATTTTAACATTGAATAGAGTTGTGGTATTTCTTTAATTAATTGCATTACCTCTCTTCCCTTCGGATTATTTGATTTGGACGACTTTTTCCCAAATAGTACAGTTTTAATCCATTTTCCTGGTGATTTCCCCATTCTGAGATTACAACCTGCAGAAGAGAAACACTAAACCTTATCTTCAAATGGTTCACTAAGAAAGTAAGTAACGACTCAAAAACTAAAAAGTACATTTATGAAGGAAAAGTATGCAAGATGAATACTAAACAACATTGTCCAATTTAGATACTTTTGTTAGTGCTACTAAGATTTAAGCAGTGAACCCATGCCACAGCTTGTACTATGACCCCATTGTGTTGTGCAGTTGAGATACACAAGTCATCATGGTCCACAGGTAACAAAGTAAATTTTCGCACTTGTGAGATAAATCATGCTAGCGTAGACACCACTTGACCACAGTACCCAAAAAAAGAAATTCCCAAACACTTAATTAGCTGAAGTATTTTCACATAATATATACCAGGAATCTTAAGATAAATGAAGACATATCAGTTTCTAGAAAATAAAATTCAAAATTTATCACGTTTAAAGTTTTACGATACATTAAGATGCTCCACAATTTCAAACAGAATTATATATTATAGGAAAATATAATTTAGCAGTCTCTGTTTAAGAAAGAAATTGTATAACTTGGGTGGGAGGGGGTAGAAATTGTATCTCAATTGATTTAATTGTGACGAACTAATATTAAATACTTATACCAGTAACTATAAAATTCTGGGTGAAATGGGATAACAGGTTTTGCTACAAGGAATTCTCACTCGAGAGGATAAAAACTTATCTTTTCCATAATGAATAGGTAATTAACTAAAGAATGATTTTGCCACTAATGATTGACTAAGTGGGGTGACACGATGACCAGTCAGCAAATTTTATAGCATAAAGAGAAAGGTAGGCAATGTAATCTAGGCTTTGAAACAATAAGTTAAGGGAAATCATAACCAACAATAATGAATAGTAGAAAGACATAATGATCAAAATTGATCCCATCTATTCTCTTACGCAATAATAATACTGCACCTAATCATGGGCCACAGCACTCATTACCTCAATATGTTGCTGTCACCGACAATAATTCTGCACGAAAACAAAATACACCACTCCACTGACAGTTACCAACTGGAATTTTCACAAAAACCTCAACAATTACAGTTAACTAATAGCAAACAAAGACACAAACACCGAGCAAGACTTCAATTGAAGCGAAAAATCAAACACCAACAAAAGAAAACACAGAATTAGAATCAACAAGATCTGCAACAAGCAAGGGAAAAACTAAACATCTGAAATTGATGCTAGGCTAGATCTGACAATTACCTGAGAAACGTGGAAGCTCTTGGTCTCAAATCTTACAATTCCTATCAAACAGAAGCACATTGGTCGTAAATATGAGACTACAAAATTAAAGTATTCATCGTTCTTCTTCTCCTAGTTTTCCACAACAATAACATAATAAGTACTCTTAAGATATTCAGTGGAGATGATAAGAACAGGTAAGGTGGGAAAGAAACAAGAGAGAAAAGTTGTGTACCAAAGAAGAGGTGAAACTGAAATTGAGAACTAAGAGAGTGAAATGGGACCTAAAGCTTCATCAATTTATTAGCTGTTGCATTTGCATGCTGTCATGTCTTTGTGAAAGTTAAATTGGAAAAGAAAAAAAATAAAAATGAAAATGTCTGAAACTGAAACTGAAAAGCTTGGATTATTTGTGCCATTAGGGAAAGGAAGGCGTGTGCTCAACACTAACCGAATATTTGGCGGCAATTCTTCTTGGCACCGTTGATGCAAGGACTTGACCTGATCCTACGGTGGAAGGTGCAGCTTGTGAAACGGTGCGTTTAAGCGCAAGTTAAGAAAAACGACCGCAGTGGTTGTGGTGGGAGTGCCGGTGCAGTTACTTCCGATCCAAGTGTCCGAGCTCCTTTATTGCCAAATGACTTTGGTGCCCTTGTGCGGAAATGAGAATCTCACGCGCGAAGGGGCGTTTTGGGCAATGTGATGCATTGGGGTGTGAGGGGAGAGAGTGGGGGTGGAGACGAAGCGCGTGGTAGCGCGTGGGGAAGTAGGTGGGAAGGGAATGGAGTTTGTTGGAACATGGGAGCCATGCTGGCAAGAAGGGACTTGTTGTGTCGGGTTGGTACTAAGAGTGGATAAGTAAAGTGGGACAAACAAAACAAGCACTTTTCTATTTTTGTTGTTGTGAATAGGGTAGATTTCTAAACAGAATGATCCTGAGTTTATGCTGTAATTATTAATTCTTCATATGATTTACTCTATTCCCAAATCTTTTGTTTCTTTGTGTTTGTGTAGGAAAAATAAAAATAAATTGTTCAAAACTTTTTTTTTTAAGTGGCTAAGTTTGCTTACAAATGTCAAATGTTTGGATATAGAAAATTGAAAAATTTAGAGATAATTTGTTAAATAATTATTTTTGAGAGAAAATAACGGTTAAAAATTAATCGTAAGTTTTAAAATTTTAAATGCATGAAAAATTTTCAGCATTTTTTACTAAATTTTAACTGTTATTTCATACATAGATATACTTTATTGATAGCATTTTTACTTGAAAAATAATTTAATATCTAGTTTCTTAAAAGAAACATGAAAATTAAGCTGACAAATATTTGAGATTCATGTATTAACTTCTGTTTTATTTTTTCACGTTTCTTTTATTATTTAAATTTTGAGAATATTGTACAAAACAATGATAAGAAGGTATTGTCGTATTTACATGAAGTTGCGTTAAAAATTTTATAAAATTTTATTCACGTTCACAACAATAATTATAACAATTAACACTTTATATTTAAGATCAATAGAATTGATAAGTAACTAAATAAAAATTGTGAAAATAAATATATAGAATAATAGAAATTGAGAAAATTAGTTGGGAGAATTATTGTTGGAATCAAATTTTACTAATTATATAATCCTTTTCGAGGCTAAACCAATTACTTTTATTTTGTATGTTTTTGTAATTGTTTAAAATCATTAATCAATAATTCATCAATGATTAGATCTTAATTTTATTTTTATATAACTATTAATCTTCAAAGAAACTAAATAATATTATATCTATTATAACAAAATTAATTCTATTTTTTTTTACCAAAATAAATTTTATCAATAAAATTTAGTTAATTTTCAAAATAATATTTAAATTACATCTAAACATTTATAATGAAATATAAAATATTATATATATATATATATATATATATTACAGACAATATCAATATTTTAATGATATTATAAAGATTAATAATTACAATATTATTTATGTACAATAGAAAGCGAACAATATATATAAAATATTATATATCGATTGATGTGATGTATTTATATTTTAATAGATTGAATATATATATATATATATATATATATATATATATATATATATATATATATATATATATATACTATTCTTATACCTCCTTAGTCCATGAAGCTTAATCAAATACGTTCAAAAAGTTGATAATCCCCTCAAAACCATATAAATCTTATATAATTGATTATTAGAAAAAAGTAATTAAAATTTTGAAAATAGACATTATAAAGGTTAATGGATAGAAATATACTACAAGTATTTCACATTCGTAAGAAAGATTTTACAAATCTTTAAATAAGCATTCGTACTATATATAGTTATTGAAACCTAAGCTATTAGTTTCAGCGTGTTAGGTCAGGTATTGAATGATTAGTGTTTATAGTGTTGTTCTGGAGATGTGACACATTTCTCGAAATAAATCCAAGTTCGAAGTTTATTTTTTATTTTTTAAATTCCCATATATTCTAGGCATTTTGTGATATGTATAGGCAAATACTAAATTTAGACAGATCTTGACACAAAAATTCACACATGTTGCCAAATATTACTTTTCTCATTAAACTCAAACCCTCTTGCCCAACATCGTTTAATGAGTGAGTAACAAGGCACTTTCACAAACAATTATTTACATATAGATTTTGGGACAAATATTTTAATTCGCATTTAATCATTTAAATTATATGAAAATATTAAGTAATGTAATTTTTAATTCAATTTTACATATTCAGTTTTCTTATAAATAAATTTGTGGATAAAGAAACTAATATAGAATTATTTTAATTTAATAATCATAATTTTGAGTCTTAATGATGGACATATGATTATACTGTTAAATATTCGGAAGGAGATTTTTATATAATATTTCTAATTATAAACAAAATTCTCTCCGATGGAATATTGATAAAAGAAAATTAAAAATATTTTTTTTTTGCATGTTTGGATCAGAAACATAGAATTGTAGGTTTATGTCATCAATAAAGTAACAAGTAGTGTTTATGCATTATTTAACAATTTGATGTGAATTTCTAATGTGTCTGAGCTTGAGGATTTTTTAACCAAATGCATGTTTTGGATTTAAAGATAATTTTGAATTGAAATAATTTTACTTAATTTTTATGTTAAATAAGAAATTTACATTTAGTTTTATTATTATTTTTAACATAAAAAAATCCAAATATAATTTATTTTGTTTCAAAATCAACCTTAACTAAAATCAATATCATTCCAAATCTATTTTGTAAACGTTTAGTTATGGACACACATTATTTATCTCTTAAATATTCTTGGTATTCCTTTGAATGACTTTTATTCATTACTTTTAAACTTATTTAATTTTATTTATAAATTTTTCAAGAAAAAAATTACAGATACAAAACATTTTTAATTTATTTTTTTAATTTTTCTGATAATTAACATGCATCTTAAACATCGATTTTTATTACACTACTTACTGAAATAAAACTTAAAAAAAAAGAACTACATAAAAGTTAGTGTTCATTAATAATTTTGTTTAATTAAATTCGTAATTAAATAATACTTTATTGCCTAGTAATAAAACAGAAACTAACTTAAAACTAGAAATTTGTATCTAGAGAAAGTAAATGGACATGAGAAAAGCTTGTAACATGTAACTGTCACCAACATCATGAGGTGCAATAATTAATGCTACGATGTGAGGATTATTTATAGATCATCAATGAATTGTGTATCATGTTTGAAAATAGTTAAAATTTGGTTGTTATCAATTATTAATTAAGTGACTAGACCTTAGACCAAGAAGCAATGACAATTATCTAACTTGGTGTTGTGGAGATTTCTTAATGGTGTGTTTGGTTCATAAACAAGAAAGTATAAAGTCCATTTAAAAAGGCACTAATGAAAAAGTAAAGAAAGAAAGCAAAAAAAAAAAAATGTGATGGGTGGAGGTAGCAATGGAGATATGGGAGCAACCATGAATGAGGTGTTGAATTTTGAAAGGATGTTGTGTAGTGGTAGAGAGGAGTTGGGGCAAACGACCTTGTCGGTGTGGTGTTTAGATTTTTATTTTTCTTTTCTTTTATTTAATAAACATTCACACTATTTCCTTTTCGCATTTATTTTCTTTTTATTGTCTTAAGAATCAATGTGAACCAAAATATAAAGAAAAGAAAAGAAAAGAAAAAAGAACAAGAACTTTTCTTTTTCTTTAGTATGATGGGTCTAAGAAAAAGAGAAAATTTCGATGAACCAAAAATTCCTAATATGAAGTTGAGCCACTTCTTTTATCCTGCATAGGTTGAAATAAATACACATATACATGTTATAAATAGAGATCCAATAACACTATATTCATTATATATTGCTTAACCAATATATATTAATTCAAGAGTTAATGGATTGGTAGTTTGATTTATTTAATATCTTTTTAAGTATATTTTTTATTCTCTTAATTCTCACAATTAAAAAAAAAACTTAATTTAGTGTGTATGTTCCTAATATTCTGAAAGATTTTGCTAAAATGACTAACAATTACAAGTTATTTATACGAAAATTTATTTTGATTTTAGATTCTTACTATCAAATAATTAACAACTTGTTTGTTTTTCATACAAAGTATTCATTTGACAATGTTTAGCCTTAAAATATTTGAACAAATATCCTAAAACAAGTTTTTCTTAATTTGTAGAAACTAAAAAGATCAATTTTAAATTTAAAAACCAAAATTAAACTTCAAATTTAAGGGATACGGGGAGAATGTTTAATCATGTAAGACAAATAAAGTAATTATGTTAGTTTAATATAGTATTATCAAAATTAGATTGATCATTGACTTAACCAGTAGTCAGATGGATAAGTGAATAACTTGTTATATGGTATGACCTAATATATTATTAAATATATAATTTTAAATAACATATATAGTTAATATATATATATATATATATATATATATATATATATATATATATATATATATATATATATATATTGCTTATTTAAGGGGGTGACTTGATGTAGTAGTCATGATCCTCCTCAATTACCCATAAGACATGAGTTTAATCTTCCCAAACCCAATTTTATCTTCTTCCAAAAATATTCCTCTGCCACATTGAAGCAACATGATCACAAAGTGCTTGGCATGGGTACAATTTCCACTTTAATCGGTTGATTTGTTCTGAATTTAAAATAACATTAGTTTGATGTTAGTGGGTTTAATTAGTTTTGTAAAACATAGCTAAGTGCTTCCACGACTAATAACCTTTCTCAACACGCCATTGAGGAAGTAGGCACAAAATAGAGTATTAAAGTATTATGCATAACATGAATGTTTTGGTTTGAAGGTATAATAATATTTTTAGAATTTATGATAATATTTAAAATATTATCCAATTTTAATAAATAGATTATATATATATATATATATATATATATATATATATATATATATTTTAATATTATCATTTACAACAAATTCTAATTAATCTAATATTTATAAGTTTATAATTAAATAATTTGCGTGGCATTATCATAAGATAATTCAATTTAAGAAAATTAGAATATCAATTTTTTTGTTTTTTTATTTTATTATATTTTATTTTTTATATAACAAGCTTTTATATAAAGAGTTACCTATGTCATTTTAATTGATTATTTAAAAAACTTATTGGTTAAAGCTGCAACTAAAGAACATATTAATTGATTAAAATGATTTTTAATATATTAAAAATACTTGAGGTACTTTATATTCTTATAAAATATAGAAATTTATGTTATAGGAAATGATAGATGATTATACCTACTCAAGGTAGATGCAAACTCACTAATAGATGTTAAGTGGTAAAAAGTT